AGTAGGGCAATTTTGTAACTTTTTCTACCTATTTAGATAATTACTAGGTTTTTTGCGGGAAATATTTCGCTCTTTCATCAAATTGAACAATTTGTGTGATATTACATTCCATAGAAAGATTGGGGCTTTTCTTTAAAAGACAAAGTTGCTGTGATTCAAAATGTGGGAGATAGGTTACAAAAGTTCCCTACCCGTTGCTTAAGTCTTAAATTCATAAAAAATTGCGTTTCTTCGACCAAATTTATAAAATATGGTGTTCTTAAGACATTGCAGTAGATTATCTTCGTAAGCACTACCTCTTATTATCGTCTTTTCACGTTGGCGAAATTCTCACGTAAGAATAATATGAGCTTTTCTCAGACTCATGTCCCATTTTTCATGAGATATGATTATATAGGTGATAGTCAATTTCACCCCTTAAACGTGAGCCAAATTCAATGAAATTTGGACTGGTCAGAAAGATCGGTTGTATGTAAAACATATTAAAATTTGGGTTGCATTCACAATTTCCTTCATCGTTATTTTTAATTTTTTTTTAAAAATACCTAGGTTACAAAAGTGCCCTACTGCAAGAAAACAAAAGTTTTTATATAATTCGGTCTGTGAATGAGGTAATGACCAACTCATTACTTCCAATGGAAGTGCGTGCTTGTACGAACTAGAAAACAAATTTTGGTGTGGTATTTTTAAATTTAAGGCCGTAATATAAGGGTTTTTAAATCCACTGATCTTAAGTTTGTAACTGGACTATTTAGATCAACTTTGAAGGCAAACTTAAAAATATATTATTCTCGACTATAAAGTTATTATCTTTGATAAAGCACAAAGACTTTCACTGGGCAAAAGCGACTATTATTATTTTTCTCCCTACTGAGCACACATTAATGGTGCACTAATCGCAGCAAAAGGGGCGTAGCACAGGGGTGTCCAAACAAGTCGCACTGTGCTATATAGTGTCATTACGTTCCTAAAATGAACATGTATTTTGAATTACAATATGTCTAGCTACGTTTGATACGTTGTTTCGTTATTGCTTTCTTGTTTCTATGCGTAATTCCAGAGCCGGATTATATATGGAAGAATCTTGCCTATTTATAGCCCCATGTAAAATTTTTTAAAACAGTCTACTTTGCTTTTTGATGTTATAGGTTAAGAAATTTACTCGATTTTACTTTTATACTCTTATGAGTCAACTTGACTACAGTTCACCAATTTGTTTTTTGCTGGTCCCAAATCCCAATATACTCGAAAATTCGAAAACGACCCAAAGTATACAGGGCGCATGCCCGTTCGCAGGTTAAACCCGGGAATATTGTCGCGAACTTTGCAAATGATACTGTATTTCCAGAGTGAATTTGCTTTGTATTTTGTCTTCAATATTTGGCGATCTTGGTCTATATTTGGTACATGTTTATGAAGAAATGCGAAGATAGTATTCTAATTCAATAACCTAAAGGATTCATCCTGAAAGACTACGGTTATGTTATGATACGCCGATGCTTCGTGAATCGCGAACTTTGCAAATGACTGTTTTGCTCCAAAGTTAATCTGCTTTGTCTTTTTGCTTTGTAAATATTCAGCGATCTTGGTGTATGTTTGGTGTGTGTTTATGAAGAAATGGGAAGATAGTATTCTAATTAAATAATCTAAAGCATTTGTTCAGAAAAACGACGCTTATGTATGTTAATATGATGTGCTAAAATGGACTGTTGTCTGTTTATATTCGCGTTTGTATACATGGCTGATATTCCCATCGTTGATTCCCAAAAAATACCATTGCTTACATCGCTGGATTGTAGTATTGTGGATTGTGAGACAAAAAAACCCCAGTGAATTCATCGATACTAACGACACGGTAAGTGAATATCTTTTGAAAATAGCTTTTGAGTTATATACAGTATGCTTGGATACACTATAAACGTTTAATAAATGTTTAAAAAGTGTAACGTTTTATATGGATACACTATAAACCTCTGCCTCCAGCCTCGCAGGGTAATATAAACGTTTTTGTAGGTAAAATCTTAAAAAGTGTACTGTAGATTTCAATAAATGTCTGCAAAGTGTTTGAAGAAAATTACTAAGTTTAATACACTAAATCACTTGGTTCCTCTCTTACAAATCCAATGAGATACAATTATTTAATTCATGAGTAATTCTTTATATTGTGGTCACAGAAACTTTGAAGTGTATCAAATAAGGGGGTGTTTATCAGGAAGCCGGGGCTGTTCTGCTTAGCGAGGAACCCTGGTAAGCGAGATCTCACTGTGTAGTTATTTTTACAGTAAAAATTACCTTGCCTTTATATGAGCAAGTTGGCTGGCCTGGTTGCCAAGATCTTGCTTGAAAGAAGCGAGATCTCACTTATCAGGATGGCAATTTTTCCATATAAACACTCACATCAATGATGCAGGCTGGCCAGTTTGCCAGGATAAAAGATCAAAGATGCTGCCGCAAGCTATTTTTAACAACTGTCAAAACAATGTCACAACAACAAAATTGCCTTGACAAGCAGGATGAAATTTTCTCACATGAACAGAAAAAAAATTCATCCCGATTACCAGGCTGTCTCGCTAAATGGGCTATCCCGGCTTCCATATTAAACAGCCCCTAATATTACTTTATATACCACTTTAAGCCATTAACCTATTAGAGTGCAAGACTCTCCCCTTGAAAAGTAAAATTGTTTGCCGTTAGACAGAGTAAAAGTAAAAAGTAAGGTGCATTGCTGCTCAATGGTTTAAGCTGCAGAGCTACCCCATTGACAAGTAAAATCATCTGGCATTAAGCAAGTAAAAAGAATAAGTAGGGTGAGCATTGCAGCTCAATGGGTTAGTTCAATTAATCCTCCTCAAACACTATATTTCCAGTTGAAATTTTAGAATTTCCAACAGTAGTAGTCTTTTTGGGTCAGTCTTGAAAAGCAGGTTATAATAATCAGCTCCTCTAAATATTTCAGTATATTAGACAAAATATATTAATCATACTCCTGACGGTCTATGTTTGCAAGTATATTTAGTCACTCTGATATTATAAATGTACGTAGCAGGTGCAACATGTTACACAACCTTATGCTTTTCAGCTACATTCTACCTTCAAGTTTTTAATATCACCTACTTCATTGTTTTAATCCTAATCCCCACTGACTTTACTCTTCAAGGAAACAGCACTAATAAACACTATATATCCCTTTTAACATCTTGCCCAACATTCATTCTCTAATATGTAAAAGTTTGCTTTAATTTCATTTAATTGGTCATGTTAATATATACGTTTGCTTCTACTGCAGTTATATAAACGTTCCACCCAGCAGAATACTTGTATATATACTGTACCTCCTCCATTAGATCAACAAGTGTTATGTGTATATCAACATGTGACAGCCATTTAAGGCTGCACAACATTGTTTTATTAGGTTAATTTAACAAGTTACAAAGTCAACACTGTAATCATAAAACTCAAAAAAAAAAGTTGCTGCGAACACCCCATTACTATGACTAAACCCTTTATATTCATTTTAAACTATTTCCAAACATTCATTCTCTAATGTGGGAAAGGTTGCATTAATTTCACTAATTATTTTTTGTATGAGGGCCACATACTTTATAGGATATGATCAAATGAGATTAAGACTTAAGCCAAATTTGAATACTTTGTCATGTCGTGGTAATATAAGTTTGGTTGTACTGAAGTTATATAAACATTCAACCTAGCATAATATTTATATATACTTCTTCTATTAGCACAACAAGTGTTATGTGTGTATCAACATGTTACAGCCATTTAAGCAGGTACACTGTTGTTTTATTAGGCCAATTAGCATGTCATATTCATAAAAAAACCTAGTTAATTAAGGTTGCTGCCAAAGCCCCATTTCTATGAGTAAAAACTTTATATCATTTTTTAAATCTTTCCAAACATTCATTCTCTAATATGGGAAGGTTTGAATTAATTTCATCAATTGGTTTTTGTATGAGAGCCACTTTATAGGCTGTCATGAAATGCGATTTAGACTTAAGCTAAATTTGAACACTTTGTCATGTCATGGTAATATAAGTTTGGTTGTACTGAAGTTATATAAACGTTCCACCTAGCAGAATACTTATATATACCCCTTCTATTAGCACAACAAGTGTTATGTGTGTATCGACATGTTACAGCCATTTAAGGTTGTACACTGTTGTTTTATTAGGCCAATTAGCATGTCATATTCATAAAAAAAACCAATTAAGGTTGCTGCCAAAGTCCCATTTCTATCAGTAAAAACTTTATATCATTTTTTAAATCTTTCCAAACATTCATTCTCTAATATGCGAGGGTTTGAATTAATTTCATCAATTGGTTTTTGTATGAGAGCCACTTTATAGGGTATCATGAAATGCGATTTAGACTTAAACCAAATTTGAACACTTTGTTATGTCATGAATGGCAATATAAGTTTGGTTGTACTGAAGTTATATAAACGTTCCACCTAGCAGAATACTTATATATACCTCTTCTATTAGCACAACGAGTGTTATGTGTGTATCGACATGTTGCAGCCATTTAAGGTGGTACACTGTTGTTTTATTAGGGCAATTAGCATGTTATATTAAAAAAAAACCCAATTAAGGTTTCTGCCAAAGCCCCATTACTATCAGTAAAAACTTTATATCGGTTTTAAAATCTTTCCAAACATTCATTCTCTAATATGGGAAGGTTTGGGTTAATTTCATCACTTGGTTTTTGTATGAGAGCCACTTTATAGGCTGTAATCAAATGCGATTTAGACTTAAGTCAAATTTGAACACTTTGTCATGTCATGTCATGGTAATATAAGTTTGGTTATACTGAAGTTATATAAACGTTCCACTTAGCAGAATACTTATAGATACCTCTTCTATTAGCACAACGAGTGTTATGTGTGTATCGACATGTTGCAGCCAGTTAAGGTGGTACACTGTTGTTTTAGTAGGGCAATTAGCATGTTATATTTATAAAAAGACCAATTAAGGTTTCTGCCAAAGCCCCATTACTATGAGTAAAAACTTTATATCGGTTTTAAAATCTTTCCAAACATTCTCTAATATGGGAAGGTTTGGGTTAATTTCATCACTTGGTTTTTGTATGAGAGCCACTTTATAGGCTGTAATCAAATGCGATTTAGACTTAAGTCAAATTTGAACACTTTGTCATGTCATGCCAGTCATGGTAATATAAGTTTGGTTATACTGAAGTTATATAAACGTTCCACTTAGCAGAATACTTATAGATACCTCTTCTATTAGCACAACGAGTGTTATGTGTGTATCGACATGTTGCAGCCAGTTAAGGTGGTACACTGTTGTTTTAGTAGGGCAATTAGCATGTTATATTTATAAAAAGACCAATTAAGGTTTCTGCCAAAGCCCCATTACTATGAGTAAAAACTTTATATCGGTTTTAAAATCTTTCCAAACATTCTCTAATATGGGAAGGTTTGGGTTAATTTCATCACTTGGTTTTTGTATGAGAGCCACTTGATAGGCTGTAATCAAATGCGATTTAGACTTAGCTAAATTTGAACACTTTGTCATGTCATGGTAATATAAGTTTGGTTGTACTGAAGTTATATAAACGTTCCACCTAGCAGAATACTTATATATACCCCTTCTATTAGCACAACAAGTGTTATGTGTGTATCGACATGTTACAGCCATTTAAGGTTGTACACTGTTGTTTTATTAGGCCAATTAGCATGTCATATTCATAAAAAAAACCAATTAAGGTTGCTGCCAAAGTCCCATTTCTATCAGTAAAAACTTTATATCATTTTTTAAATCTTTCCAAACATTCATTCTCTAATATGCGAGGGTTTGAATTAATTTCATCAATTGGTTTTTGTATGAGAGCCACTTTATAGGGTATCATGAAATGCGATTTAGACTTAAACCAAATTTGAACACTTTGTTATGTCATGAATGGCAATATAAGTTTGGTTGTACTGAAGTTATATAAACGTTCCACCTAGCAGAATACTTATATATACCTCTTCTATTAGCACAACGAGTGTTATGTGTGTATCGACATGTTGCAGCCATTTAAGGTGGTACACTGTTGTTTTATTAGGGCAATTAGCATGTTATATTCATAAAAAAAACAATTAAGGTTTCTGCCAAAGCCCCATTACTATGAGTAAAAACTTTATATCGGTTTTAAAATCTTTCCCAACATTCATTCTCTAATATGGGAAGGTTTGGGTTAAATTCATCACTTGGTTTTTGTATGAGAGCCACTTTATAGGCTGTAATCAAATGTGATTTAGACTTAAGCCAAATTTGAACACTTTTTCATGTCATAGTAGTATAAGTTTGGTTGTACTGAAGTTATATAAACATTCGACCTAGCAGAATACTTATATATACCCCTTCTATTAGCACAACAAGTGTTATGTGTGTATCGACATGTTACAGCCATTTAAGGTGGTACACTGTTGTTTTATTAGGCCAATTAACATGTTATATTCATAAAAAAAACAATTAAGGTTACTGCCAAAGCCCCATTACTATGAGTAAAAACTTTATATCGTTTTTAAAATCTTTCCAAACATTCATTCTCTAATATGGGAAGGTTTGGATTAATTTCATCAATTGGTTTTTGTATGAGAGCCACTTTATAGGCTGTTATCAAATGCGATTTAGACTTAAGCCAAATTTGAACACTTTTTCATGTCATAGTAATATAAGTTTGGTTGTACTGAAGTTATATAAACATTCCACCTAGCAGAATACTTATATATACCCCTTCTATTAGCACAACAAGTGTTATGTGTGTATCGACATGTTACAGCCATTTAAGGTGGTACACTGTTGTTTTATTAGGCCAATTAACATGTTATATTCATAAAAAAAACAATTAAGGTTACTGCCAAAGCCCCATTACTATGAGTAAAAACTTTATATCGTTTTTAAAATCTTTCCAAACATTCATTCTCTAATATGGGAAGGTTTGGATTAATTTCATCAATTGGTTTTTGTATGAGAGCCACTTTATAGGCTGTTATCAAATGCGATTTAGACTTAAGCCAAATTTGAACACTTTTTCATGTCATAGTAATATAAGTTTGGTTGTACTGAAGTTATATAAACATTCCACCTAGCAGAATACTTATATATACCCCTTCTATTAGCACAACAAGTGTTATGTGTGTATCGACATGTTACAGCCATTTAAGGTGGTACACTGTTGTTTTATTAGGCCAATTAACATGTTATATTCATAAAAAAAACAATTAAGGTTACTGCCAAAGCCCCATTACTATGAGTAAAAACTTTATATCGTTTTTAAAATCTTTCCAAACATTCATTCTCTAATATGGGAAGGTTTGGATTAATTTCATCAATTGGTTTTTGTATGAGAGCCACTTTATAGGCTGTTATCAAATGCGATTTAGACTTAAGCCAAATTTGAACACTTTTTCATGTCATAGTAATATAAGTTTGGTTGTACTGAAGTTATATAAACATTCCACCTAGCAGAATACTTATATATACCCCTTCTATTAGCACAACAAGTGTTATGTGTGTATCGACATGTTACAGCCATTTAAGGTGGTACACTGTTGTTTTATTAGGCCAATTAGCATGTTATATTCATAAAAAAAACAATTAAGGTTCTGCCAAAGCCCCATTACTATGAGTAAAAACTTTATATCGTTTTTAAAATCTTTCCAAACATTCATTCTCTAATATGGGAAGGTTTGGATTAATTTCATCAATTGGTTTTTGTATGAGAGCCACTTTATAGGCTGTTATCAAATGCGATTTAGACTTAAGCCAAATTTGAACACTTTTTCATGTCATAGTAATATAAGTTTGGTTGTACTGAAGTTATATAAACATTCCACCTAGCAGAATACTTATATATACCCCTTCTATTAGCACAACAAGTGTTATGTGTGTATCGACATGTTACAGCCATTTAAGGTGGTACACTGTTGTTTTATTAGGCCAATTAACATGTTATATTCATAAAAAAAACAATTAAGGTTACTGCCAAAGCCCCATTACTATGAGTAAAAACTTTATATCGTTTTTAAAATCTTTCCAAACATTCATTCTCTAATATGGGAAGGTTTGGATTAATTTCATCAATTGGTTTTTGTATGAGAGCCACTTTATAGGCTGTTATCAAATGCGATTTAGACTTAAGCCAAATTTGAACACTTTTTCATGTCATAGTAATATAAGTTTGGTTGTACTGAAGTTATATAAACATTCCACCTAGCAGAATACTTATATATACCCCTTCTATTAGCACAACAAGTGTTATGTGTGTATCGACATGTTACAGCCATTTAAGGTGGTACACTGTTGTTTTATTAGGCCAATTAGCATGTTATATTCATAAAAAACTCAATTAAGGTTGCTGCCAAAGCCCCATTTCTATGAGTAAAAACTTTATATCGTTTTTTAAATCTTTCCAAATATTCATTCTCTAATATGGGAAGGTTTGAATTAATTTCATTAATTGGTTTTTGTATGAGAGCCACTTTATAGGCTGTAATCAAATGCAATTTAGACTTAAGCCAAATTTGAACACTTTTTCATGTCATAGCAATACAAGTTTGGTTGTACTGAAGTTATATAAACATTCGACCTAGCAGAATATTTATATATACCCCTTCTATTAGCACAACAAGTGTTATGTGTGTATCGACATGTTACAGGCATTTAAGGTGGTACACTGTTGTTTTATTAGGCCAATTAGCATGTTATATTCATAAAAAACTCAGTTAAGGTTGCTGCCATAGCCCCATTTCTATGACTAAAAACTTTATATCGTTTTTTAAATCTTTCCAAACATTCATTCTCTAATATGGGAAGCTTTGGATTAATTTCATTAATTGGTTTTTGTATGAGAGGCACTTTATAGGCTGGAATCAAATGCGATTTAGACTTAAGCCAAATTTGAACACTTTTTCATGTCATAGTAATATAAGTTTGGTTGTACTGAAGTTATATAAACATTCCACCTAGCAGAATATTTATATATACCCCTTCTATTAGCACAACAAGTGTTATTTGTGTATCGACATGTTACAGCCATTTAAGGTGGTACACTGTTGTTTCATTAGGCCAATTAGCATGTTATATTCATAAAAAAACCCAATTAAGGTTACTGCCAAAGCCCCATTACTGTGAGTAAAAACTTAATATCGTTTTTAAAATCTTTCCAAACATTCATTCTCTAATATGGGAAGGTTTGGATTAATTTCATCAATTGGTTTTGTATGAGAGCCACTTTATAGGCTGTAATCAAATGCGATTTAGACTTAAGCCAAATTTGAACACTTTGTCATGTCATGGTAATATAGGTTTGGTTGTACTGAAGTTATATAAACGTTTCACCTAACAAAATACTTGTAGATACGTTTGCTGTTGGCACAACGAGTATTATGCTGGCTAAATGTTGCTTGAGAATGTTAACTATGGTCGTGTTAGCAGTGCAGCCAGATGTTAAAAATATTTTTGCTCTTAAAAGTTTATCCAAATATTGATTTTAACATTTTTTTAGGAAATCTAGAACTCCTCGAGATTGGCTGGTGAAGTCCTGTGAATGTGATTGAAATTATTGAATTGGACCCATGTGAAGGAAAGAAACTTTGATTTGAAAATGTTATATAAAAATGCTTCGAAACTTGTTTGTTATTTGGTCTTATTGTATGTTTAGTATGTTATTCATTTAAATTTGCAATATATTCTGGTTGTGAGAATTGCAAGAATTTTTATTTTGTACGGAAGTAGAATGAGACATAATGTTTACACTGCGTGGTATGTTGAATCTCAAAATATGAGCTATAGACATGACTTTGTTTTTGTAATATTTTGATTGTATTTCGAAATTGTAAAATTGTTCTTGTAAGGCATGAAATTTAGATATCGTTATAGGTTGTTCGCTGGTGGAAATCAATTAAGTGTCCGATTTTCGGATTGTGTTTTATTCTACATGTTTGTATCCAAATCCTAAGTCGCATAAAATATGAAAGGCGAACGAAAAGACTTCCATCCAATGATATTTTTTACCTGTTTCGCCTGTCAAACACGGTAAGACACTGCGTCAAATACCAGTTTTTCTTACTCAAACGCTAGTTTTCAATTACAATTTGTCAGTTTGATACATGTGATATATCGCTGTATCAAAGAACTTGTGTCTTTGCCTGCCAAAATCATTAGTGTGTCATATCAATATTAACCTGGTAAATCCAAAATGTATAAATAAGTTCTATAGCTTCAAACGGGTGTATTACTCAAATTGCTATCATATATAGATATAAAGTGGAATTTATTAGAATGGATTGAAAAGATTTGGGATAATCGGGTGTTTTTTCACTGGATCCTCAAGATAAAAATATACTCGATATATCTCTATTTTATCTCTCTTGACTTTTTTCACACTGAAGGAGTACACACTAAACACTCACTGAGCCCCCACCCACCCCTCCCCTTTTAAGCGATAGAATACACTCACCCTCTAGGCGACTCACACTCAAGGAAAGCTAAAAAATTGAGTAAAACGCGAGTGACATGTATACGTTCCTCACTCAATTTTTGAGCTTTCTTAACAAGTGTGAGGGGAGCCTCAGTGAGTGTAAAGTTTCATTCATGCAGTTTCAGTGGGTACTCCTTGAGTGCGAATGAGCTTTTAGAATACAGGGGTTAGAGATTTAAACTGTACGGTTGTACTGTACAGTTGGTACGATCGGATCACGATTTTAGATATAAACTGTTTCATCTTTGCGATTAATAATTGAGAACATTTTTATACAATTCGCCTAATTTCTCGTATGATTGTGACATGATTTTCAATTTCTTTCACAATTTTTTAATTTTGGGCACCCAAAAGTAATTCTGTTTGGCTTTGGTATCACAGGTACAAAATCGCGAATTGTGACGATACAATACTTTTGTTATGCTTTAATACGATGTTGTTGTTTTTTGTGTCCAAAAGACTCTATACCGCTTTGACATTTATTTTGTAGAAACATTTTGCTGTAATATCATAATTAAATTTCATAATTAAAACTGTTGATTCATAATGTAAATAGGCCTATGACTTCCATTCATTGAGTTACTTTTTTATTGTTTCTTGACATTATATTAAATATAATATTAGTAATTATTTTTATGTGTCAAGTAATGATTTTTAAGATTAATGCCCCATATTCTAAAAGCTCACTCACACTCAATGAGTGGAGGTTCAATCTGAGCTTCCTTTGAGTGTCAATTATAATATTTTTGAATAGCTGGAGTGTCGTACTTTACTATGTGACTACTCACCCTCCAGCTATTCAAAACCGGCACTCAAGAGAAGCTCAGATTGAATTACCTGCACTCATTGAGTGTGAGTGAGCGTTCAGAACACGGGCGTAGAATTAGATGTGTTGTGAATGACCAAGATATCTGAGAAATATTGTTTTGGTTGTTGTTTTGTATTTCAGTTCCAATTAGATGAAGACATGCAGTGTTAGGATATGGTTATGGTTAGATTAAATGATAACTAATGCAAGGAAAGCATAGTTAGGGAAAACCTAATATTCTGCCCTAATTCTGCATCAGATTGAAAAGGTCTCAGTGGATGCAGTAGAATCATTAGATTGAATTATTAGATTATAGGGACGTTTAGATTTCAGAATCATTTATATGAGAATTGAGCCGAATTTTCTCACCCTGTTTTGGAACCTGACCATGCCAATTCATTGTGTGTATGAGAGTTGAAAATAAGATGAGTTGAAAATTTGTTCAATATAAGCATTCAGTTTGGATATGTGCCCTTAGTTTCCTTAAAAAAATTGCTTGTCTGTGGGGTGTAGCAATATTTAAGATATTGATTTCACCTGACTATACAATTGTCATCTCAACAATTCTTGATATAAGAAATTAATTCTTATTATAATCAGGATTGAGACAAATGATTGTTAAAACGACCCAAATTTTGCAGTCTTAGGACCATGCACTAACCCCAATTGTGTGATACTTGAGGCAATCGCTTTTTCTTGGCGAATTTGAGAATTTAGTTCAAATACTCAACACCACAACAGTCTAGACTTGTAAGACAAAAAATTCAAACTGATTCATTTCAAACTGACTCATGCTGTAATAATTAATGAACTCACATCTTCTCAATGCGAACAACAATCCAGTTAACATAAAAATGGTTTAGGTCATTTAAAATATGTTAGAAAAATATATAAGGAAAATAACTTTAAAAGCGCTTTAAAGGTTACAAAAATGCCCTACAAGTTACAAAAGTGCCCTATCAAGGTTACAAAAGTGCCCTATGAGGTTACAAAAGCGCCCTATCAAGGTTACAAAAGTGCCCCATCTAGGTTACAAAAGTGCCCCATCGATGAGGTTACAAAAGTGCCCTATAGGTTACAAAAGTGCCCTACAGGTTACAAAAGTGCCCTGTTGAGGTTACAAAAGTGCCCTATGTAGGTTACAAAAGTGGCAATTCATCTCTCTCTCTCTCTCTCTCTCTCTCTCTCTCTCTCTCTCTCT